TTGACTACAGAAAAATAACAGAGCAATTCTTCTGTTGCAACAAAGCTCAGAAAGGCCCCAGCGGGGCAGACTGTTTTAAGACTATAGCTTCCTGTTTGGTATCTCTAGGTTTATCTTGTGACCCAGGTTTGCTAACAGTGCTAATGTTGTGTGGCACCCTGTGATACCTTTGAAAGGCTCTCAAGGCACCCCAGGGTGCTGTAGCACCCTGGTTGAGAATCACCATTCTAGAAGATGCAGCTAAATCTTGTCAGTTCATTTACTTTTCACTGATTGCCTCCCGTGGGTCTTTAAGGACTCAGTCGTGCGCTGCCTTGAATTCTTTTGCTCTGGCTACCTGCATTGCCAGTGCGCCTGTGGAGGGGTGAAGAGCTGCTGCGAGCAGGGAGTGGGCAGCACATGGGTGCTGCACTTACAGGGAGGGGGGAATGCCTGGGTCATAATTTGCTTGTGGTCTGCTCCAGGGAGAGCATGGAAACTCCATAATCTAGCCCAGGAGGGGAAATGATATGAGTTGTAGTCTGCAGTACTAGTGCCCTCTTGAAAAGTGAAAAACCCAGCCCTACCTACAGGTAGTGGAGTTTGTTTCCTGTAAGTGGGACTGAGGAGACTGTAGCAAAAGCATCATTGGTAACACTGGGGCCGAAGTGTATGAGAGTAATTAGGAAAAACGATTTGCACTTTCCTATGAGACGTTCCTGCGGAACGTTTCTCAAATCCTTTGCAAACATTAAGACTCCCATCACTCCTGTAAGGTAGATATTGCTGCCCTTGTTTTCTTGGTGGGGAGAATCAGACATGCACAGTTAAAGAGCTGAGCCAAGGTCAGAGAGGCAAGTTGGTAGGAATTAAATGCTTATTTTTTTCCTGACGCCAGGCTTTGTGCCAGAACATTGCTGCCCTGTTCTATTGTAATAAAGTATTGCAAGTTCCTAAACCCTTTCTTCTTACGTGTTTCCTCAGGTAAAATCCTGTTCCGGAGGAGTCATGTTCGAGACGTGGCTGTGAAAAGACTGAAGCCCATTGATGAGTATTGCAGGGTAAGTGCCGGCATTGGAAGTGGGGGCTGAGCTTTAACCTCCAGGCTGCAAGCAAAACTAGCTCCGAACTACAGCGTCCCACCTGGAGCTGGAGGTAGGCAGTTCCAGACAGAGCTTCTACCACTCAGGGAGCCCAGAAGAGTTGAAGTGAGAGCCTTTAAGGACCCTTGAGCTAAAATGTGCAGCTTTGCATGTGCAGACTGAAATAGGTACCCTTCACAGGCCCAGAAACATCTAGCAAATGGTACAAGCCATAAGCAGGGTTTTACCTGCTAAAGCATTTCAAAGTAATGTAGATTTTATTGCTGCCTATTGGGATTCTCTCTGTTGTGCTCTTTGTATGTACAAGGAGCCATTTCGAACGTAGAGGAGAGTAGCCAGCAAAGCAATGTCATCCTTACCCATCCTCCTATTCCCTTAGAATAGGCTCATGAAACTAGTTAGTACTTCTTGGAACAGTGTTCCTAATACTAGGTGAAGCTCTGGCATTTCACTGTAAGTAGGGATGACCTAATCTGCCTTTTCCACCTATGACTGTATGATTTGCTGACCATTAATCCTCTGACACTAAATTAAAAGTTATTTCTAAGCAAGTATGGGCTCCAGCTTTTAGAGAGTGATTTGCCATGTCAAGTGAAGTGCATAATCTAAACCCCAGACTTCCTCTTTTATTTCCTATGGGCTTTTCTTTAGAAAGCAAGATGGGGAGGTGGAGGGGAAAAATGTATTCACAAGAACTCTTCCTGTCAGACATTTGCTCATCCAAAGTGGGTGCAAACTGCTGGAAACCGCAGCCGTTGCTGGGTAGGAAGAGCAGCAAAGATATTTCATTGAAATCCTTGTCATCCAAAACATCTGCCTGAGGAAACTGGATAAAACATGTGATAAAAGTCTTATCTCATGAGATCAGGCTTTTGATGCAACAATTAACGCAGTGTCCGACTAATAATGGCTAAGTGGCTATCTTTAAAACTGCGCGCTCGTACTGTATCCCCAGCATTCTTCATTCAGACAGGAACCACAGGGGATGTGTGCAGTCAGAAATAATGTCACGGGTTCACCGAACAGACGCACCATCTAGAAAGTGGTAATTTACTCCGGGGGGTGCCGACATGACCCCTGACCTCCACGAACTGGAAGCTGGTTATCTGGGCTACCATTGTCTAAGGAGCAGACAGCCCGGTACTGGGTTAGGGTTACATCACTGGTCATGTCTGAGGAGTATATCACAGCGACAGTTGTTGCAAAGATCATTAACACTGAAGTGCTGTGACTGCCACTGGCCACCCCTCTCATTACGTATTTACTTCCTTGGAGGAGCCTGTTCAAACCTTCTCTGCCTTTTTGTGGAGCACAATGAGCTTCCTTCATTTCCAACAGACTTCTCATTTATGCAAAAACAGGTTCAAGTCAGTAAGGGGCAAGTTTAAAGCTGTGGCTCAGTTTAGAAAGGCCTGTAGAAGTTTGCTGGCTTCTCCTAGGG